TAATAGTAATTTTGACTGTTGTTGACTGGTGTAGTTTCATAGCATGAAGAACCCTTGGTTATAAATAACACAATGGGTTTTCCCCACAATGCCCTGAACATGACTAAAATGTGTTAAAACAGGAATACATCTTCTCTCCCAAGTTTTTTAGCTTTAGTTTTCTTATCACAAAAAAAAATCAAAATCTTGATTTAAAAACATACAAAGTTACTGGATGTTATCAGGTATGGGAATATTATTTCCTGATATTCTGGACATGAAAATCCGATAGAACTTAAATCTGATTTGTGTAGTCTTTTTGTTTAGATTTTTAATAAGCCTACACTTAGAGAGAGAGGTTCTCAGCAGAAAATATAATCATAACTTTTGAAATAATTTACTGAACATCAAATAACATTCTAGAAATAAAAAAATCAAATCATCACAAATGTATCAATGAACGAACATGCCATCACGCAGCTATGAATAAACCTGTATTCTTACAATAGGACATCGCTAAGTCGCACGAACAATACATGCAAGGCCAACTAAAATATATTTCTTGTTTCTCAGCATCAAGAGTTTTTTTGACACTTGAATACTTAAGCACTATCAACACAAGACTAAGATGATTTTTGGTTACAGTGATTTCATATGGTTTGTGTATGAGACATAACAAACCAATAAGCTCAAACGATATCTTTAAAAATCTGGGATTTGTAATTCCATAGTCTGCAGGGCTCGATTTAAGAGATGTTAGCCTACTTGCACCAGGTGCAACCTAAGATAAAACCCTAGTTGCACCAGCCAGATTCCAGTTGCACTGATTTTATTGCAATATGTAATGAAAGAAATTATGCTATTGAATTATTTAGATGTTTTATTCAGAAGTTTACTCACTCAAAAATTGACTTGCACCTGGTGCAAGTTAGACTAATAACTAGGTTGCACTTTGTAATATTGGGTTGCACCAGGTAAGTAACAAAGCACTAAATCGAGCCATGCATATGGTTTGTGTATGAGACATAAACCAATAAGCTCAAATGATATCTTTTAAAATCTGGGATTTGTATTTCAAATTCTAAGAATAATGTGCTCAAAAATTATTGTACAATTTTTACATAAATTTCCAACCAAACGTCAGGGCAGTACTTTTTTTTTACTGCAGCATTAAAGAGCAAAAATGTTGAACAGTGCTTCAAGTTCAAAATTAACAAAACACAAAACACAGCCAGAATTAAGAAATAAGGGTGGATCTAAACCAAGAACCGAAAATTTACTTGAATTGGCCTGAGAGAACAAGCAGTCAAAGAAGGCTACACACCACGCAAGCATGTTAGTCTAAGATTAATGGCAGGTGTACATGCATCACTTAATGTACAGACTCGTGCCATATATATTCGGACACTTGATGTCATTTCAATAGACTTATATGCTATCTCTGCTCTGTGCGCATAATTTCAGTTCAATTTTCCGACCACTATTCAACTAATGACATCACATTTATCAACTTACATATAGTTCTACAATGCACAATCCCATAGGCCGCCATGTTAAAGGAGTTCACGGCACTGTACATATGTTGATTAAATTGTTGCCATTCGATAAATAAGCAACGGAAAATTAAACAGAAATTATGTGATTGTAGGTAAGATGATTCCTCACAAATGTGCAAAATTTGACATGGATCGTATGAAAATTAAATTCATGAAAATTATTTATGCTACACTAAATTAACATGTAAGTCTATGGAAGTTAGTCAAGTGTCCGAATATAACTGGCACGGGTCAGTATTAAATTTATGAAACATGAAATGAAAACAGAGCCACAGTGACACACCCACTAGATTAGATCCAGTAATTTGAATAATCAGGAGCCAGGATTTATAGTCCAAATCACAAGGTACAGTGTTGAAATAAAAGTAAAATATAAAAAGTTTGTGGAAGTGATTTTCAGGTGGGTTGGTAACCATGGTAACCAGAGAGAGACCCGAAAATGCTTTCTGAACACCATACGTGATATCAGGAATTTTTCTGCACCTTTAGCATTAGTCGATAATGGTGAACAGATTGTACACAAACAAACACCAAGTTCTCAGTTTTAATTTGACCCCCAGTTAATAAAAGATTATAGAAGATTACTCTAACCCTAAGTCATAGGATTTGGTTGGTTTGTTGTCTAATGCCACATTCAGCAATATTTCAGCCATATGGAGACATCTGTAAACAATCAAGTCTGGACCAATCAATCCAGTGATCAACAGCATGAGCATGTGCCAACCAAGTCAGCGAGTCTGACCACCCAATCGTGTTAGTCATCTCTTACGACAAGCATGGGTTACTAAAGACCAATCCATCATGACTCAAGGAATGTGTTGGTGTATTTGAAGCTGTGATGTATTGACAGCAGCTGATGGTGGAGAGCACGAGAAGAGCTCTGAGAAACAAGAGCTTGGTGATACAGCCATGTTTGCTTGATGACTGGCCAGGAGGGCAAAGGGAGACAACTGGTTTTCTCAACTGCCACTTGTGTTATACTGCCAGTTTCAAAGTTATCACAGTGGGATTGGGTTTCATTCACAAATTAAGACATTCAGTCAAAATATCTATACTTTAACATATTGAAAGATGTTTTGTAGATTACAGTTTGGCTGTGAAGTTGTTGCTTAGGCAATCACAGTTTCAAGATTAAATTTGACTTTGAGGACATCACAGATTTTCAAACAGAGGTATAGGGGTTAGCACAAAGACACCATTGGCTCTGATCCTTATTTGCAAATAGTGCAAACAAAATGTAAGAAGTCCACACTGATAACATCATTTCACGTTTCATCTAAGTGCATTGATAGTAGAGGTGCAAACTTATGTGCATTGATCGTTAAGGTATAAAATAAGTGCATTGATAATAGAGGTGTAACGACACGATAGACTTGTGATACAATACGTATCCCATAGTGATACAATACGTATCCCATAGTAATACAATACGTATCCCATAGTGATACAATACGTTTCCCATACAATACTTTTACATCATTGATGTTCTTTTCTTTCCAGATAAAATTCAACCCTGAATCATTTGGTTGCAAATTTCAGGATTGGAAGGTAGGAGTGAGTAAGTGAGTGAGTGAGTTTGGTTTTACGCCACTTTTAGCAATATTCCAGCAATATCACGGCGGGGGGACACCAGAAATGGGCTTCACACATTGTACCCATGTGGGAATCGAACTTCGGGTCTTCGGCGCTGCGAGAGGGCTTTAACCACTAGGCTACCCCACAGGGACTGGAGACAGACTAGGTAGGATACTGTAAGGCATCAACTGTAGACACTGTAAATGTTATGATGTTTATAGCCATCTTAAAACTACTAGAGAATCTCCATAAGCATATTTGACAAGCAAATGTGTAACATGTACGTCAGCTAGCCCTGCTGTTTCTTGTAGGCAAGACAACTGAGGCCTGTGGAGAAGCCCTGGACACCAACTAATTATGATAGAATTTATCTTAAAGATTCCAGGAAATTTATGTTCCCAACATACTAGTCATACTTTCAAGATATAAACTTTGCAAATGCATTTGCAACCTCAAAGAACTACATTTTTCTTTATTATATTGTGCAATAAGAAGCATAACAGGAAATTTGATAAATGACGCTAACAATTATTTTCGATGATTGATCAGTTGTAATGAACCAATGATAGATTATGATATTTTTACCAATTCCCAACACTACAATTAATGCCATCAATGTCTCATAAAATCTGTTATAGTTTGTGTCCAAAGCCAAATCTAGTAAACCTTCTTTTGGAATAGTAAGCCTTGCTGAAACAAAATCTACAGAAAATACTAAAGAATCTGCCAAGGCTGATGACTTCGTTAAGAAGATTTGTCTGGAATTTTAGAGAAGTCCTTAGTCCATAGTCTGGTAAAATTGGGTCCAGCAAGCTTTGTTGATATCAATCCATACATTAACAATAAAATCAACTGATAAATGATTTCAAGGGACAGACACAGGTTCATAGACAAATGTCTTTGCATTGGCAGCTGTTATCAATATCATTCACAAATATTTACATCGATATCACTTCTAATGTATCGTGATACAGGGTTTGTTATTCCATGAATTGTATCACAAGCCTTGTATCGTTACACCACTAACAGACGTTAGTAAACCCATGCTCCACAAGCAACCGTTCTACATTAATGTCCTGCCTGTATACACATACTAACACACAGCACGCGCATTTCTACACGAAGGTAATTCTGTAACCATCGTAACACAGCCAGTCTGTTGCATGACCACATGTTGTCATGGTGATGAGCTGGTAGCCATGGCAACTAGCTGCTTAACATGCAAGTGAAAACACCGCAAAATAAATCAAGAGACAGGTTAGATGGGGTAAGTGAGTGTTTAGATCACTTTACGTGTGAATCCTGAAAGAAATCATTAAAAGTGAGAAAAAACCACCTGACCATTTCTATTGGAGGCTGGGCGGGGAATGGACTATTACAAACACAATTTTTTTAAGCCTTTTTATTAAGACATTCTGAAAAGTGGGCCTGAAGGTAGTATTTTCCAGAGCATCAGATTGTCCACCAAACAATTTTTTATTATTTTTTTAATTGGAGGGGAAGAGAGGGCATCTTTAAGACATATTCCTGGAACCCCTATGATAGAATGGTCGGTACATAATTTGTTCTAAATGACTGTTCAGTGCAGTCTATTATGTTAAGCATGTTTAGATGTTTCCACGGCCTGACAACAGAGAGTCAAACAAAATGTTTTTTGGCCAGAAATTCAAACCATTATTTGAAGAAACTGTGCCAGTAGGGTAGCAACACCAAGACAGTAGAAGTATTACAAACATTCACAAAATACTAACTATTTTGGGACACTGTTTTTATTTTAACACCAAAGATTCAAAGAAACACCCAAACAAATAACCTGAAAAAAATAAGAAATACAATTAGTGGACAAATATTAGGAACATATGATTATAAGTACTTATGACTTAAACTTACCAAAGTCATGGCAGTTGCATGTGCATTTGCGTCCTCAACAATGGGCTTCTCCTCTCCGACCTCGAGGTCGAAGTAAACGACTTTGTGTGAGAAGGTGGAGAACTCGTTACTAAAGCAGAACTTGTAGATGCCGCCAAGATCTGGGGTCCAGGTGAAACTGTCGTACTGTTTCTTCACATCTTTGTACAGAATCTGACCGTTGGGGGCAGTTAACTCCATGTCCACGTCATACTGACCACCAGTGATTACCTGTATGTGCAGGTGAATGCAAAAATTAACAATCAATAACCATGAGAAGATATGGATATTATTTGATCAGGGACCTTATGCAGGGCTCCAGATAACTTTTGGGGGTGCGAGTGTACTTACACATCATATTGCAAGTGGAGGTGTACTGAGAATTTTGAAGGAGTACTGACATGTTTTTGTGTGAAGCGAGTTGGTGATGTGGTTTGTCTGGACGATTCATCGATCGCTATGTCCAACCATGTATTTGTATTTGAATACGTGTGAGAAATAACTGAGCGACCGTGTGATGCGCGAAATGTCAGGTCTGACTGGATATAAATAGGAACAGTGTAGTTTTTAGCCAATCGAAAAATAGTGACGCATATCGTTGCATGGCAACGCAAGTGATTCCTACTGTCGGGGTTTCCTCATGTGTCAAATCGTGTTTCGCAAAAGAAACTTGACAAGTATTTATCCGAAATAGATTTCCATTTGCACGATACGCACGGAAATTAAATGTTAGACGTACAAAGGTATTTATGTGCATACACGATACGCTTGAAATCTTACATTATGTCGTACTTAATTGATTTTGAGGCGTACATTACGTCTGTACGCCCCTTATCTGTAGCCCTGCTTATGTGTCACTCGCAAATGTGATCAACAATTTTTTTGTCAATAATTTTGAAAAATTCTGGATGTGCATGTTGTCCCAATTGACCATGGTAGAAGTCTGTGAGTTGCATGATTGTGATGATTGTGCAGATGATATTTTGACCCAACAACCAGCAAAGCATTACAACAGTATTGGAACTAATTATCTGACTCTGGATCAGACAATCATGTGATAGATACTATGAGCAACAACACACACTGACTGACTGAGTTTAGTTTTACGCCGCTTTTAGCAATATTCCAGCAATATCATGGCGGGGGACACCAGAAATGGGCTACACACATTGTGCCCATGTGGGGAATCGAACCTGGGTCTTCGGCGTGACGAGCCAACGCTTTAACCACTAGGCTACCCCACCGCCCAACGACACACACAGTCAGAGTGACCTGTAATCAACAAATCATAACTGACCCCCTGATACGTTCACTGGCTTAGCTGCATTTCATGCCACCAGGTTGCTTGGCCCAGTAGCTGGATTCCAAACATGGCCTGCTCCAATGATTAATAACTACATGAGAAAAATTAGACAAATCATACCTTGAACCTGAATGAAAAATATAACAACCAACCAGAAGCTCATAAAAAGATAGGACAATTTAAAAATTGGGGAGTACTGCACTTTACCGGGTGCACTTTTTCCCGATTAATTAGTGCTGCTGGGGTTCCCTAACCCTAACCGTAACCCGAACCCCTAACCCTAAGGATCGTAAAGGGTGCCTAACCCTAAACCCTACGGATCGTAAAGGGAGCAGCGACGGCTGAGCCCGGTAAAGTGCATTCTAGCCAAAAATTGTCCTTAAGAAGAGATACATAACTGCCTAGTTTTTAAGTGAGCATGGTTTTACCATGTTTATGCCACTTTTAGCAATATTACGGCAGGGGATACCAGAAATGGGCTTCACACATTGTACCCAGGTGGGGAATCGAACCTGGGTCTTCAGCATGATGAGCGAATGCTTTAACCACTAGGCTACCCCACCGCCGCATAGTTCTAAAGCTATTCAATATGAGAAAATGTTCACAGTTTGGGTCTTAATTATCCTGCTTGAATGCTGACTTGATAGAAAAATAAATTTACTACCAGATGTGTAAATATAGCATGGAAAGGTTCACCCACATTTTTTTCAATTTTCAGTTTGACACTTTGAGTGAGTGAGTTAATATTTAACGTTACATCAGCAATATCTAAGCCATATCGTGACATTTTCAGTTTGAAAGAGACAGAGTTTGCTTGGTAACAATAATACTAACATATAGCTTAGAGGACAGGTATTTAAAATGATAGTTCATTTATATCATAGCAATACATCAAAACACTCATCAAAATTACCTTGATGCTATGATGAGATAATACACACAACAGCTTGTGGAATGCAGCTTGTTTGCATTATGTGGAGTTGGAATGCAAATAGGATGTCAGATTGGTTTCAGATGGCGACCATGCTGATCTTAGTTTTTTGCTGCATAATTTAGGTTGTAGCAACAGTCATTGTAAATACTAGTACCTGTACAATATCTTCTTCTTTATAAGGTCATGGTTTCCCTCAAAGATAGCATCAGTATTACTCAGGGCTGATGATCAGTCTTATTTCAGTTATATATTTTGGCTAGAATGCACTTTACGGGGCGCAGCCCTCGCTGCTCCCTTTACGATCCTTAGGGTAAGGGTATGCCACCCTTTACGATCCTTAGGGTTAGGGTATGCCACCCTTTACAATCCTTAGGGTTAGGGTTTAGGGTTAGGCCCCCTTTACGGTCCTTAGGGTTAGGGAACCCCAGCAGCGCTAATTAATCTGAAAAGTTGCGCCCGGTAAAGTGCAGTACTCCCTATATTTTACAACAGTTTTGAATATTTAGCCGAGAGCAGCGATGAGGTCCTGTACAGTGAAGACATGACCATGCATCGCCGCTGTCGGCTAGTGCATATTTTCATCGATGAGTGATCTGTTTTACAGTGTAATCAGTGAGAAACCTACAAACATTTCTTCAGCATCCACAAACCTCCTATATACATTCCGGTACACCCTGGTACACTAGTCCAACTGCAGCAACAAGTTTATAATATCAGCATTATCAGATTAACAATATGGGGCTACAATATCGTGCAAACATGTCGGAAAAACTTTCTAAGAATATTCCAATTCAGAAACCAGTATTGTGATTGACAAGTATGGACAAGAATGGACAGCTGTTTCAGTTGACAGGTGATATATTGAGTATCTATAACTTTAATCCTAACAAACGAGACGAATAGTGTTCTAAGTTTTGCACTAAATGTTAGCTCGTCATAATACATATGCTGGACTTACTCGCCAAAGTTCACCTATATATATTGATTCCTACCTGGAATTCGAGTGTGCTTTTGACGCCTTTGTCGATTTTTTCGAAAAAGCACTGTCGTTCGTTGTCGGGCAGCTCAAAGGTCAGCTCTGTGCCTAGGACGACATTGATGAGGACGGCAACAAGCACCGATATCGTCTTTAGATATTCCATGATGCAGAAAATATTTAAAGCTATAATTAACACGTCAGAACCTTCGTCGCTCTATCTACAAACCGGCCTGTTGATGAAAATGGCGACACTCAACGTGGCCGGAAGTTCCGCTTTACGAGGAAGTTGCTTAAAATCCGGACATCAATAGTTATATTTTAATAAACACTCTATATATCAAGTGTTTCATTGACATTGAAACCAGTTACGTGTCTTGCACAATACCTTAGTGTAGGAAAATTAATTGTTTGATCTGCAACATGCTTGCCTGTTTTTTAAAACTATATATTTGAGACATAAGTATCTGAACGGTTCCGTTCGGTTATGGATGCATGACGTGTTCGTTTCTCAGGTTCTGATTGCATCGAGTTGATGAACAGTATTTATTTATGAATAGACTGTCTCACGGTCCCTGAAGCGCATTATTTACCTTTCCACCAATCTCTTTCTGCAATGCTAAAGCCTAAATGTAGCAAGTCAAAATTTCCTTAGGTTCTGAAACTCACATATGGTCACACTGGGGCTTCTTTCCAATTTATAGTTTATTGTTTCTATCAAAAGAATATATTCAGAGTGAGTGAGTTTGATTTTACGTCGCTTTGAGCAATATTCCAGCAATTCACGACGGGGGACACCAGAAATGGGCTTCACACATTGTACCCATGTGGGGAATCAAACCCGAGTCTGCGGCGTGACGAGCCAACGCGTGACGGGCGCCCCTATATATTCAGACTGACTGACTGAGTTTGGTTTTACGCCGCTTTTAGCAATATTCCAGCAACATCACGACGGGGGACACCAGAAATGGGCTTCACACATGGTACCCATCTGGGGAATCGAACCCGGGTCTTCGGCGTGACGAGCCAACGCTTTAACCACTAGACTACCCCACCGCCCCTATATATTCAGAACTTAACGTTAGACTACTGATTGAACTTATTTACCATTCTGGGGCTCCTTTCACGAAGCAACCTTTACTAAGGTTAAGCTTAACTCCCATTCTTTAACATTGCACTAAGGTAACCTTAGTGACTTACGATCACCTAGCTTAGTGGTCTGTGAAAGGAGGCCCAGATACGAAACGTGATTATACAAACAGGTATTGAATAGACAGTGTTACATTATTTTGTTACCAATTATTTCCAAATTATTTGACCGCCGCCATATAGCTGGGATATTGCTGAGTGCGGCGTAAAACTAAACTCACTCACTCACTCCAAATTATTTACAGGGGAAACTGGAATTTGGTTTAACGTCAATTTTGTAAATATATCAGTTGACGGCGTGTGAGCTTGGTATGGGACGAAAGCATGGAGTAAATCGTGTCTTACACATTCACCCCTTCAGTGACCCAACAAGCACTGGGATGGTGAACATAGATACTTCAAACAGCGTGAACCAACGATCACAGGTTTCCAAAGGGGCGTAACTCTTCACGTCACATTGCAGACTGGGTCTACAGTGCCCGGCACAGTCTCCGAACCTCATTATTTTCCCTTCTGCCTAGCCCTCCCTACAATGCTGAAGCTCTAAGTGAAGCAAGTCTAGATGTTTTTTTCTAAAGGTGATGAGTGATGATATTATCACGGACCACATGTTTGGTGTAGTGGATCAAGTGTTAGCCCAGACAGCCTAAACTTAGCAGTTCGAGCCCCTGGTCGCCTCGTACCAAACGATGGTACAACTGTTTGTATTTTGTCCACCCGTCCTCGGGTATCCTAAACAATGTTATATTTTGATGAACAATCTCGACTCAGCTGGTAGATATACTTGGGCATCATGGGTAAAAAGTTTGTTAAACACCAACGGGTTTGGACGTGTGATCTAGTCATGATGTTGGCAATATTAATCATTTCATATCTATGTTCAAACAGAGGTTAATGAATCATCGAATTTAGCTTACTACAAGATCATTAAATCTTTATAAGATGTCGAGCTTTATGTTTTAAATGACAGGGCTAAAGATAAGGGGCGTACAGGCGTAATGTACGCCTCAAAATCAATTAAGTACGACATAATATAAGATTTCAAGCGTATCGTGTACGCACATAATACCTTTGTACGTCTAAAATTTAATTTCCGTGCGTATCGTGCAAATGGAAATCTATTTGCGAAACACGATTTGACACATGAGGAAACCCCGACAGTAGGAATCACTTGTGTTGCCATGCAACGATATGCGTCACTATTTTTCGATTGGCTAAAAACTACACTGTTCCTATTTATATCCAGTCGGACCTGACATTTCGCGCATCACACGGTCGCTCAGTTTTTTCTCACGCGTCTTCAAATACAAATACATGGTTGAAAATAGTGATCGATGAATCGTCCAGACAAACCACATCACAACTCGCTCACACAAAAACATGTCAGGACTCCTTTAAAATTCTCAGTACACCCCCACTTGCACCCCCAAAAGTTATCTGGAGCCCTGTTAAATATATATTATAAAGAATATAGACGATATTTATGTTTACTTAGACTTCATCACCTACCCCTTCTTTGTAATGTAAGACTTCATCATCTACCCCTTCTTTGTAATGTAAGACGAAAAGATGATAATGATGCCTCAACAATATGTAAAATGTGTAACAATAATATCCCAGAGGATGAATTACATTTTCTTTTTGTCTGTGATGCATATGTAACGTTACGTAGTATATATTTACCAAATTTTGATCATTGTCCAAATATCATTTAGTTTAAAACATTAATGCAGTATTATGACACCAGTATTCTTCTAAAACAAATAATGTGCAGTTTATTACGTATGATCTCGTGATCAGATCAAAAGTTTTAAATAATGTATAACATGCATATTGCCTTGTCAAAAATGAAATTTGGTATCATATGATTGTACATGGGCCGATGACCTACTTACAGAAAATAAACTCATTCTCATTCTCAGTTATTGAACTGGCAAATCATTCAACCTAAAATTCAACCTAAAAATTCAGCAACACGTAGGAATAGATAATGCGAAAAATGATACTAATTCTACCACCTCTTGAGTTCAGAAAGAAGTCTTAAAGATGGCAGTTTTGAGAGCGAGACAGGAGTTTTCATCAGTCATCATATCCGGATTTATTGGTTGTCACCTCTTCTTATTGTTTGAGTTCTTTTACAGAATTTGGTTGTTCGGGGCTAACCATTTCAACAGTATTATCTTTATTTCGATAGCAAATGGGAAGTTTATTCTAGAATCTAAATCGAAGCACAATCGCCAATGGCTGAAGGCATGGTGGAAATCCAGCTGGGTCCAAGCAGGCAAAGGTACTGTGATCTACCTTCAGTTGCTGGCGATCTATAGTCGGTTTTTATGTTCTCTTGTTCTCTTTCATAATATCGTTTTATGATAACACACCCCAACCTTTTCAGAAACATTAAGTGAGTCAGTGAGTATGGTTTTACGTCGCTTTTAGCAATATTCCAGCAATATCACGACGGGGACACCAGAAATGGGCTTCACACATTGTACCCATGTGGGGAATCGAACCCGGGTCTTCGGTGTGACGAACGAACGCTTTAACCATTAGGCTACCTGCCGCCAGTAATATTAAGAGCTCTCACACCATGTATAATATCCGTGGAGAACCGGGTTAGAATATAAATATGGACTCGTCATGCACCACGACACTGAAAAGCCCCCGAGATGAATGTGTTCACTCCACCAGTGTCTACTGAACGACTACAACATTTAATTGCCCATTGTACCTCGTCTCATTAAAAGCGTATGCACACAATTTTGACGCATCGTTGCTTCTGTATAAACTCAAAACCCGCTAACCAAACACTATATTCATAAAGCTGTAGTTATGTTATCATGTCACCACGATCCTGGACTATTTAGTTATATGCTGATCTGGCCTGACTTTGAGAAATTAAACAATCAAAAAAGTATGCGCTAAAATATTTCAGACTCGAGGACACTGTCAAGACCTGATTGAAGTCTTTTAGCTCTGTTAACTTATAACCATCTTTCACCATGATATGAAGCACAATAGATAATACATTTTGTGTTTTTGATATTTTCCCCTGTTCCATACACGGGTTCGCGCTCTGGTACAGCCTTTGCTAATGCTAGGAGATGCTTATCGTGTACAGTACTTAGACTGAGGAAAGTAGTGTTCGAGTCGGGCTGTGTACTGGCCGGACACGTCTCCAAAGCGGCCACCCTCTATATGACAGCTCTGTGGGGCAAGGTTGTGGGGATGTCGCATCGATATGTCTACACGTGGACTAAAGGTGAGATTCATTGTATGATAGCGCATGCAAACGGGTGTCTAAGCACACGTGAGCACACACTCATACACAAACATACACACCGATCCATGCACACGTGCAGAGAGAGAAAGAGGGGGTAGGGAGAGAGAGAGGGATAGACAGAGAGAGGGAGAGAGAGAGGGGGAGTAGGGAGAGGGATAGAGAGAGAGAGATCCATGCAAAAACAGGCTATCTGACACACGCACCTACGAAGATGCACGCAAAATAACATATACACACTAGTGGTGGTCCGATTAATTGAAATAATCAAAGATTGGTCGCAGTCACTAAACGACCAAGCAGTCGATCATGTTTTCTCATAATCGAACACAAACAATTCTGGAACACTTGTTTGCATTAACAATTATATTTTTCACAAGGTTGGTTTTGTCTGTTACATTTCATGACCACTACAAGCTCGTTCCAAGTCATGATTGAATTTATCTTCAAGACTCCAAGAAATTAATGTTCCTAACTTACTAGTCATCCTTTAAAGATGTGAAGTTTGCAAATGCATTTTGTGCAATTTGCAAAAAAACACCAAAGAACTACGTTTTTTTCTGTATTTTTTTGTCCATTAACAAAAATAATCAGGAAAATTTCATAAATGGCGCTTACCAATTATTTTCGATGATTGATCGGTTGTAATGAACCAATCATCAATTATGAGTTTTGTACCAATTCCCAGCACTAATACACACAGACGCCCACTCACTCACTCGTCGCCTTTTGTATTTCCATCCAACCAGTCAGGGGCCTAGGTTTTTACCCATTCACTGCATTTGCCACAAGTTCTGACGGCTTCTTTTATGAAGATGAAACTGCTGTAAACATACACATTACATCGTTATTGAAAAAACAACTCTGTTTTGAATTGTTTCTGTTTTATTTTTTGGGGTTTATTTTGTTGTTGTTGGGTTTTTTTTACAGTTATGCCACGGCCTATTTTCGACTAGATTTTGATGTGGTGCTAAAGAGATTACCAGTAACAGGATGTTAGTTGTCAACTGGCCATTGGCGGGTTGACTGGCTATTTTAGTTCGATATGGGGAGAGGATGTCGGATTGTACAGATTAATAGTGACATTGGAACCAGAAAATGGTGTCGGAATTCGGAATGTACACATGTCGGATAATTCAATGTTTAAGTGATGATAATATAGAAGAACGCTACCGGGACCAAAAAAATATGTCGGAATTCACAGATTGTCGGATAATTCAGATGTCGGATTATACAGAATCCACTGTATTTATAAACTAAGCGTTAGTGTGTTGCTGGCATAGGCGGATCCAGAGCTGGGTGCAGGGGTGTGCATCCCCCTTTTGTCCTGAAAGTTTATCAAATGACCATTGAAACTCTCGTGAAAAAGGGTAAAACTGAACTGTGTATCCCCCTTTCTCAAAAAGCTGTATCCGCCCTTGCCTGGGCGGTCACTTCCGGTCTTCCAGTTGTGGGACTGTGAGATGTGTCCGACGATGGTCTGCACAGCCGAACGTTCGGACATTATGGCCGTTCAAAGCCCCAAAATGCTTGTTCTCGCTCCGCTGAGGACAATCTTGGCATTTTGATGTGTGCTACTGGTATACCACTAACATTCTCAGTCGATTGTGTTTTATGTTGTTGGCGAATAACACGCACGTGCGATGAAATAGAAATGTGATTTTGTTGATACTGCACTCATAGCATTGTCTCTTTCAGTGTTTGTGCTCCATCGCCCCTCGCCTTGAAAATGTCCCCATCTTTTGCTGCATTCAAAACGTATCTCTTTTCACTGCGCCATTAACTCAACTCAAACATTTTCATTATTTAGTAGCGCATTGAGCATCCACTTAGTGGTTGGATTTAGCGCCATTGTTATTATTAGTATAGGACTGTGAAATATGTCTGGTGTTTTATAGGGGTGAGTATTGCCAAGAATTTTAATATCGCGATATATTTTGATGCAAAAGCATATATTGCGATATGTATTGCAATATATTGCTAGAAGCTTTTTTCATAAAAAACTACTTCTAATCGAATTAATGCTTGAGTTATAAAGCAACAACAGAACAAAATTACTATGCTTGATTAAGCTTTAATAAAAACAACCACTTTTAATCATGACAAAATAAAAATGTAAATAATATTTGGCACAAATGAAACAAGTAAAAGAACAATTTAACATCAACACAGTGGTTACTAGTTTGAGCTAGTTTCTCCACTCTCACAAAAAGCCCTGAGATTTTAGACAGCAACTGGACCCGGGCAGGACATATCATAGATCACTGGTAATTAATGAGTGAATATTTAAAACATCAAAATCCAAAACACTTCAAACCGAACTTTACAAAATCCAGTTAAATGTAATGTTCACCACGACCATTCCACCACTATTACCGCAATTGCCACAATCATCAAGGTTCCGAGTGTGACGAAGTTTTCCGAATGCATGTCAAAATACCGGTTTTCGATCAGCGTATCGCAATATGTATCGTTTTCATGTCTGAACCGATAAATACCGGTAAACCGTTTTTTTGCGCAGCCCTAGTGTTTTGGCAACATGTTCACGATGTTTCTGAATTGTAAGTCATAATGAAAACACTTTTCAAAATATTTGCTGTGTTGTTTGTTTGGATCTTTTCTTATTTGAATAATCAAAAAAACAACAGATGTGTTCTTTCTTTTGCACGTCAGTGTATTTGTGACAAATATTAGACGAAAACACTCGAGTTCTGACATTTGTTTGTAAAAATATCCCTCCCACTTTTCATCATTCTTTTCTTACACTGACTTTATCAGATCTAAAAAGTGAACGTTGAGAGGGAATTGAGCTTGCGCTGCATTGGATAACTAAAATTACGCAATATATAAAAATATAAATATTGCTAAATGTAAAATAGCAAATGGATTTGTATCCTTATGTGTAACGTTATGTATTCCATACAAAACAAGGGGCAGTGGGGTAGCCTAGTGGTTAGAGCGTTCGCTCGCCATGTAGAAGACCCATGTTCGATTCCCCACATGGGTACAATGTGTGAAACCCATTCCTGGTGTCCGCCGTCGTGATATTGCTGGGATATTGCGAAAAGCGGCGTAAAACCATACTCACTCACTCATCTGCAGCAGTAACTCCATCAGTGATGAAAATATTGAGCCAGTGTATGCACTGAATCGACAAATGGATCTCTCAAGATGAGAAAATATAGATTAAATGAATCAGTTGTCTCTATGAGCGGCTTGCGTCCATAGTGACTTGTAAAACCCAGATGTGCGCCGGGACACCCATGTTGGGGCGGTGGGGTACAGCCTAGTGGTTAAAAAACCTTGAGTTGAAGAGGTCCATTTGGCATTCAGGGGTAAATTCCTCGTTACACACTCAACATATGACGTCAATGTAGTATAACGTCAATGTATCATTATGTGACGTCATGCCATTGTTCGATGGCGTAATTGTTCTTGTTACATGTGAGGTATTATCATGGTTATTTAGAGATTATGGATGATAATATTTCTATCACTTAAAGGTGAAGTGTACACGATAAAATCACACTTATTCTTATTTGAAACAAAGTGAGATATTTTAAATATTTAATATCAATGTTTGAAATTATACACTCATTTTTCTTACAATGAAAGTACAACCCTCAAAATAAGTGCTGAAATGTTATGCGATTATGCGGCCCTTGTATGCCGAGCTAAACAGTCCAGAGTTACCGCCCGTTGATTATGACATAATTGGTGTCACTTGAATTTAGACTGGTTTCCTGTCTAATCCCAAATCAAAAGATAATACAGTAATACTGAAATAAATCACGTGAGAAAAGTTAGTGAAAATACGAAAGAAGCATAAGAACTGAAAATGTAAGCAGCAAGACAGATTGATCATGTGTATTTTCATTCATAACCTCGCCTCAATGAAAATACCAAATATGTATAACAATGTTGACGTACGTATGATATCCCTATCGGGAAGCGACATTCTCAAAATGGCGTGTTCACTGACACGAGTACGCCGGATCTTTCGACGGATATTTTCGTTGTTTCAAGCAACGTTTATACATATATTGTGACATGTAAGTAGTCCGAAACATTCTGACAATGTGTTGCTTGTTATTTTCTTTTTTGCTTTCATTGTGACCAAGGAAATAGTCAGAAATAAGACGAACTTCCATCGTCGGTGTGCGTGAGTTTGCGTCAGTCATGGCGTCACGCTTCCAGAAACTGTTATATGTTGTGATGAATCTCGGAAATCATTGGAATACATTGGCGGATCCAGAGGGTCCCCCCACACACACACACACACACACACACACACACATTGAAGATTTTTTTTTGCGTTGGCGGAGCCAATGGGGTTCAGGGGGGTTCGAACCTATACACCTATTTTATTTAACTTTCGCTTGCTACGATACCTTTCCCATGCATGGTACAGAGCAAGTGGTCCTTTCCCAGCTCGGCATCTGATATATTTCGTTAGATTTCACTGAAACACTTGGTATTGGTTATTTTCAACTGTATGAGGAATTCAGGGATTCTTGTACGTGTGACGTGATTTTATAAACACTCTGCAATATGGCTGAAATTCACTTTGACGTTAACTGTGCGTATTTTCCAAAACATTCTCAGCGATTCTCGATCGATTTATCAACAATGTTTCAGAACCAGCATTGGTGATTCGATCAAACAACAACAACAAAAATACCGCTGATCACAATGATACGTTTTTTGTTGTGTTGTTTGTTTTGTCTTTTAAATTCAATTCTCCCCCAAAAATTGACATTTGAATTAAGACATTCTATAAATTACGCAAAACACAGTGAATGGGGATTTCGTAATGTGTCAAAACTGGCCAGATTTACCATGCATGTAATTTTCAGTATATTTGCCTTACAATGAGCGGGTGATGTCATAGAAAAAACGAATTTCAAACAGAATTAAAAACTGCCAATTGCATTCATCTTCGTGATATCGATGGTTATGGTATCGATAGGTTGGAAGAGTAG